ATCTGCTGGCATTCTATACATGGCRAGAAAACCCATGAGCTTCTGCCAGTGTCATCAAATTAAGATCAATTTCCAACATCACTCGAAGTGCTATTTTAGAAGATGCTTGATCCCACTGAAACCACACTGATGGAAAGAGTAGGCAAAGTGACAGATGTAAAACTTATTGTTCTCCCTTCTTCCTCCTCTTTTGAGCTGCAATTTACCACTCAGCTAATAAATAGATGTGAGTTAAAATTAAAAACTGATGTTCATGTGCTTATCGATCCCACCCCCACCCTGTAACAGCTGCAGTTTCCTCCTCCACTCTGCCATGTTCTTGCTGTGGTTTTTAGAGCTGCACAGCTTTTGTACCTACCGTGGGTATAACCTCATCGAGGCAAATAATTACAATTGGGGTCACGGCAGAATCTGAAAAATGCAACCAGAAGGGCCCCCCTAAGGTGAGGGGCTGGCTCAGACACCCCCCAGGACTGGAACMCCAGCTCAGAGAACAAATGTGCTTTCCCCTTACAAAGACTAGTTCTTCGATTTAGTGCCATCAGGGCTAKCATTACACAATCCTCACCTGTGTTYATGTGGYTCCAAAATGCTAAATACCATTTCAGTGGAATGGTTTCGAGTGTATTCAGGAGAAAATCCAGTTTTATCATTTAACCACCTGAAGCAGCCAGCTTCAGCCAAAAGCCTYCACTTACACCTAATGTTTCACACATTCCCTCTCCTTCTCCAACAGTCTCCACCTGTCCAGAGGGAYGGAGACACATTCCAGGTTCTCCCTCAACCCTGAGGGAAAAGGACACTCTCCACAAGTCTGCCTACTGTGGGACATACCCCGTGGTGGTTTGGGTATCACTTGTTTGGAAAGCAGAGCTTGCCTTGGTGATGGGTGTCTTACAGACACACCTCGAAGACAAGGAAAGCTCCTTTTTCACCTCTGACCCCAGAGTTATCCCATAACACCCTCCACCTTTGCCAAGTTGGCTGCTTGGACACCTCCCAAGGAGGGTGATCTGAGCTCCAAGCAAAGATTCAGTTCTCCAGGCTGCAGAGCAGAGCTGTCTGCACAAGCACAACCACCAGGACAGCTCATCCCTCCAGGAACACCCTGCTCCCCCCAGCTATGGGTCACACAGATACCCTTCAGTAACCTTTAAAAGTGACTGCAGGATCCAAAAGCCAATCTAAAGCCAAGAGCTTGTTGTAGAAAGTTGTTGAAAGAAACAAGATTTGGTGTTCTTTCCTTTCAAAACCTGACCAAAACCTCTGCATTTATGCAGAGATCCAAGTCCCCAGCTCTTCACCTTCCCAACTAAGAGAGTCAGGCCCCTAAGAGCTCTCTGAATTTCATGTGCCTGGTTGCTTGACACCTGTTTCCAAAGGAAAGCCAGAATATTCTTGCTGCTGTCTGGTAACTAGGCTGCTTCTCACATATAAAAATCTACTGGCTCAGAGCACACACCGCTTAAAGGGTGCACATCAGCACCCTGATAATCAGTGCTGCACTTCAGTCACATTGCATGAGGCTCTTCCAATGCAAGTTCTTCAACCACAGGTGCCTCAGGCAATCAAAAAGAGATTTCCCAAATSGCTCTCCCAAAGTCGGACACCTAAATAACACCCCTACACCAGCAAACCACTCTGACCCTTTAAAATCAAAAGGAAATAAATGCATCCMAGGCAATCTCTGCTGGAGACTCCTCATTTCGGAGCCACTGGAACATAAGACCATATTGTTTAAATGCTCTCCTTCCCAAGCCCAGACCTGATTTCTGATAACAACCAGGAAAATTCCACACAGAAGGCAAGAGTGAATGTCATAAAAATGTCTGTGTGATTGAATGCTTCTTGTGAAYCTTCGTGGCAGGGGAATACCACCACCTAAAATCATCTGCAACAACATGTCAGATGGTTCCCTGACTGATCAGATGACAGAACTCCCTGTGGTGAACCGAGTTTATGCCAGATGTGAGTTTAGAGGCTCCCTGGTACAGCTACTGAGTGTGAACAGAGATTTGGCGTTGTCTGTGGGCCCACTACCCAAGATCTCTTCCCCCAGTTCACCCTGTGCGACTGGAGATTTTTAATGGAGAACAGGCTGCATCTCATGGCTGCATCTCATGGCTGCTCACTGACAGCAGCTGATGTTTTTCAGCATGGTTTTCCACTCTGTGCTCATTAAATAGAATGGAAAACAGCTACAGACCTAAAGAAAAGGCTCTTTAGTTATGGGAGGATAGATTTTCCGAGCTAAAAATGCATTTCAGTGTACAGTGACATTCCCAAGGAGTTCCCCATACAGCTAAGGGACCTGTCTGCCATAAACCAGGCAGCAGGAAGCACAAATCACAAACTGGAAAGCCACTAGACAACTCCTACACCTCACATTCCCACTAACGACTTATGGGGCCAGATTTCTGCCCAGCAGACGGAGCTCATTAAACACATTTTCAGACAAATATTGCAAAGAAAGGAGTGCAGTGCTTTTCCTGTAGAAAAAGTCCTTATCCTTCCTGAAAAAAAATTAGAAGTTAGCTGCTAGAAAATAGAAAAGTAYTACAGTCAGATGAATGACTGCTTCTTTTTCAGCTTTCCTACCAGGAGAATGGTAATTATGGAATCACCGAATGGTTTGGTTGGAAGGGACCTTGGAGATCATTCAGTTCCATCTGTTGCCATGGGCAGAAACACCTTGCACTACCCCAGGTTGCTCAGAGCCACATCCAACCTGGCCTTGAACACTTCAAGGGATGGGGCATCCACAGGTTCTCTGGGCAACCTGTTGGAAGTGCCTCACCACCCTCACACTCATAAATCATGCTAATCACTGCACATAAACAGAAGTTAATTTTGCTTGAAGCAGTAAAATGAGAATTCATGCAAAGTCACAGTAAATAACTCAGGGAGATGAAAGCTCTTTTCAGAGATTTCTGTGACCGCATTTCCAGCGCTGCTCAAATCCAGGCAATTGGTAACATAAAGCAAAAAAAAAAAAAATAAACCCTTCTCACCCTCCCAACACCGTTGTATGTGGGATAATCTTTTGATGGCTTTAATTGAGCCTCTTTTCAATCACCCTGTCCACAGATTTTTTTTTTAGCAGATTAAGCCAAAAATAAAAATAAATTRCAGCATTGCAAGCTAAAACCACCATGACCCGACCCCTGACACCCCCCCACACACCCCCCCTTCCCCCAGCAAACAGTTATCTAAGAGCTTCCTTTCTGCTCAGGGATTTTTGGCTCATTTTTTAACRAAAATCTTTTGCAGTGAGGTGGTTCAGGGTGGTGCAGTTGCTCTCCTGTGCCTTTTGGGGAAGAGCTGACAGCAGGGAATAGCAGAGAAGCTGTTCTTCAGTGGAGCTGCGAGTGATAAACTCCCCAGTTTTGTCAGGGGAATGACAGTAGCACTGAAGACACCGAGTGCAGTGCTCAGTGTCACAGGCACAGGGTGCAGCTCTGCGCCAGAGAAACATCTCCCAGCTCCAGGGGTTTGCCAGGAACACAGCTCTGTGAGGCACAAGTGAATGCACTCTGAATAAAGAACCCCCGTGCTGCTAGCAGGGAGGATCTTKATGCTCACTGGGTCTCTTTAAGTCCAAAAGGCAATCAGTCAAATTCAAATTATGAAAGGTGAGTGAATTAGGACCAAATACAACCCAGCACAAASCTGTGACAAGAATGCCTTGTATAGTTATAGCAGGTACACCAGCACAACCCCAAGCATTACCCTCGCCATAAAATATTCCCCCTAATTATATRTTTAAGGACTGKAATAGCRCYGCTGCATCTCACAGCACACTTCAGYCAGCCCGGGGAGCAAAGTAACAGTGGCTGAAACAATAYAAGCAACCAAAACCCAAACCCACACTGCAGGAACTCCAGCCAAGTGACAGAAATACAGGCAGCAGCAGAGGAGAGGTGGTGGAGAGCCTGGTGCATCACACCTGGGCTGCCTGATCCCTGCAGGCAGCAGCGATGAGGATTTCCTCTGCTCTCCCCACTTGGCATGACCTGAAAGCCAAAATGTGAGCTGCTCCTCGCAAATCCCTGCACCACAGACCAGGCTGCTCCTGCTTTTCATCTCAGGTTTACACCTCGTGTAAAAACACAGCTGAATGCAACACCTGCACAGCAAATAGTCACAATTTATCCAGTGTCACTCTCAATTTTGCTTCTAAAAAAGGAAAATCCCATTTGTTAATGGAGTAGCAGGTGTTTTATAACAAACAGCCTCCAAAAATAGTGCTGGGTAAGGCGTAGTTACAGGTACCTCTGCTGATTCCCAAAGAATGAGCTGCACTAGAGAATGTGAGATCTCTCAGCTGAACCTCCCCATAATTTGACTGTCTACCAATACTTTTAAGTAAAAAAATACTAGTTTGAACTTTTCCACTGCAGAGAGAGTGGGGGTAAAAAAAAGCAAGCAGAAAACCCTGCAAGTGCAAAGTTTCAGCTTATTTATTTACAGGAGTACAAGTGATCCTTACATGTTTGGCACTATTTACATTTTTTCCCCTCAATTGTAATCCTTCTCAGGACACTACTTATAAAGTTTACATCAGCACCCAACCACAAACAGGGCGGTTTTTTCCATGAGATCTACCAGGCAACTTTCCCACAACTTGCTAAATCCTCCCTTCTGCATAGGAAAGCGTCGGATAGATACGAGAAATTATTGGGCTTTTTTAACTAGGAATCTCCACCAGTATGCACGGTCCTTCAAAGGGCAAAAATACCACCTTGCTTTATGCTCTACAGGCACATACACAAACCAGTGGGGATGAGTTTATCAGGATTTAAGAGGACATGCTGAGACCCCCCACTATCGGGACCTCCGGTTCCGCCGCGAAGCGCAGCGGAGCCTCCCCGCGTTCCCAGCCCGGGATGCGCCGCTCTCTCCCCAGCCGCCCGCGGGGAGGCGAAGGTGACATTCACCCTCCGAGGGCGCTGCTGCAGCCCCGTGCCCGTCGCCCCCGGCCCCGCTCAGCCCCGGCTCACCTCGCTCATGTCGCGACAGTGACGGTGACAGTGGCACGGCCCCGCCGGCGCTCAGCGCTCCCGCCGCCCCGCGACGCCCGTTAAGAAGCGGCGCCGCGCGCCCGGCCCGGCCCGCGCCAGCCAATCAGCGCCGCGCGCGCGCGGGCCCCACCCAATCCCCGCGCTCCCCGCATCCCGAGAGCGCGCGGCGCCCCCTGGCGGCGCTCACGGCCCTCGGCCCTCACGGCCCGGAGCGCTCCCCGCGTCCTTTCCCTCATCATCCTTCTCATCMTCATCCTCCTCCTTCTCCTCATCTTCCTCCTCCTTCTTCACTTTTCCCCCTCATTTCTCTCCTCCGTGGCTTCGGGCATCCTTGCAGGGGCAGAGACACGAACTCCAGGTGTGCTGGAGGCAGCCTGGGAATGGGGAATTATTGCGGCATATCTGATGAATAAATTATATGTGGATTTTAATTTTTTTTTTATTTTTTTTTTTTACTGTGAGGGTGTTGAGGCACTGGAATGGGTTTACCGGCAGGTTGTGGATGTGATATTCAAAGCCAGGTTGGAGCCTTGACCAACCTGCTCTAGTGACCCTGTCCATGGTAGTGGGTTTGGGATGGAGATGGTTTTTAAGATCCCTTCCAACTCTTTAACACTCTGCAATCCTATAAAACAGGCAGGGTTTCTCCTCACTGCTGTCCTCACCCCTGACTTTTCTCTCTGTCTTATCAGTCTTGTCGCCATTCCTGTTAAAATATACAGYATTTCTTCCAGAGATACATGAAAAGCATGTACATGAGATACAKGAAAAGCAGGCCTTTGAATAATTTCTTTGGAATGGTTAATTAAAGCAAAACTTTGGGATGTGTGCTGTTATGCTCCAGCATCCGTCTTCTGATGGAGCACAATTGCTATATTTGGCAATACACACTCAGATGCTCTGACTCACGTATCTGAAGAAATATAGGTTCAATTAGCTCCGGGAATGCACTTAACTCCCTCAAATTTTCCTCAAATCAATAAAAAAGTGAACATGTTATATTGGAGAGCCCAAGAAGCTTGACAAACCCTCCCACTTCCAGGGACTACCTTGCAGCAGCCTCTTCTCTTCGCCAACATCTGTCTTCAGGGCCAGCAYTAATAGAGGCAGTGAAATAAATTTCATGAGAAACCACGTTTTCCCTTTGAGTTGCAGAGGCAGGAGGGGCTGGGCTCCTTCACCTGAGGAAGAAGAGGATCCACAGACAGTGGAGCCATGGGTATGTATCCTGGGGAGAAAACTGAGATGCTGGCCAAATATGTAGGGATGGGATCAGGARAGCTGAGGCAGAATTGGAGATGAATTTGGCAAGGGATGTGAAAAATAATAAGGGTTTCCACGGGTATGTTGGCCAGAAAAGGAGGAGGAAAGAAAATTTGCTCCCCTGAGAAACAAAACAGGAAATCTGAGGTACTGAGCACAWTTTTTTCCTCTTTCATTGTACCATTATTCCCAGGACCTCTGTCAGCATCTGGGATTTTTTTWAAATTGACATAAATTGTCCCAGTTTTGGTTATGAGCAGCAACAAACATGGTAAGAGTTCATTGCATGAGCAGCTTCACGATTAAGTTAGACCCCTGAAGAAGCTGTGTTTCATGTGACACCATTTTCCAGTGAAAAGCAATTGTGGGTGTATTGCATTAGTATTCCTGTTCTGACAGGAGTGCCATGGGTCTGTCAGCTTATGGATACAAGGCACAATGCTAACATCAATTATTAACARAGTATTCCTGATCAAAGGGCTCCCAATCACATGGCAAGAGACACAGACCGCTGAGAGGAAATCTTTTCAGGTCCCTTTGACTCTGAGAGGAGTCACATTGGTCTCGCTCTTCACCATCAAAATAAATGTGTCAAATCCAAACAGAAAATCTCCTGGCGATAATTCAGGCTGTGTGTGCCCCRAGAAACAGGTCAGCAGAGAAGGCTCTTTGCACTAAATGCTGCAGGAGAACATACAAAATTCTTATTTTCTGGCCTGTTTGGAGGAGTTCACAGTTTCAAAGAGAAGCACCCTGGAGGGCACACTGAGCTGTATCTGGGAAGTCTCTGCCATTTATGCTGTCTGATGTCACATTTTGGTTTTGAGGTACCCCTTTCTCTGCCAGCCTTGCTAATCCATGGCAATCCTTCAAAGGTGTCCCAAAGTTCTGCTTTTACTTAAGTGCACAGCTAAGTAGTCGCACTTCTAAGTAGAGAAAATATTCTAAGCAATCTATTTTCAAGAGCCATTATATGCTGAAAATTGACTATTAAAATACCACCTTCTTATTCATCAAGTCTGCACTCAGTGTGTGTTCAATCTTGTCTGCTGGCATATGACTGCAATTTTACTGCCTTTTACTCCCACTTACCTGAACGATTCAGCAGAGAGAAGAGAATCTAAGCTGGATCTTGGAACAGAAAGGCTCTCAGGCTTCCAAGGAGCTTCACCTGTGCAAGGCGACTGAAGATGGCTCTTCTCTGCCAGACTGAGCAATCCATAATTGGAKAACGGTGTGTTAGAGAAATAGAATTATTTGGGTTGGAAGGGACCTTAAATATCCTCTAGTTCCAAACCCCTGCCATGGGCAGGGAATCTTCCACTWGACCAGGTTATTCAGAGCCCCATAAAGCTTTCAGTTCCAGGGGTGGGGAGTTCACAACCCCTTAGGCAACCTCTGTCTCTTCTGACAGARAAGAATTTCTTCAAAATATGTAATCTAAATCTGCCCTCCTCCAGGTTAAGGCCATGTCCCCTTGTCCTGTCACTTTATGTGAAAAATCCCTCTCCGGCTCTCTTGAAGCCCCTTTAGGTGCTGGAAGGGACTCTAAAGTCTTTTCTCTTCTCTAGGCTGAACAGCCCCAACTTTCTCAGCCTTTTCTCACAACAGAGGGGCCCCTCTGGTGTTGTGTTTGTGTAAGGAGAGAGCTGATTGCRTGCTCAGTCTTTGACCCTGACACTGACACAAAATTGCACAGACTTGCTTGGCTTTAGATCCCACCAGTGAAGGTGTTTGCAAAGTGAAGTGGTTTGATCAGAAGTAAAGTGAGCTGCAGAATTGCTCCAGAAGAGAGASAATTACASAATCCTTTAGGTTGGAAAAGACCTTCAAGATCATCAAGTCCCAGCTGTGCCCGATGCCCACCTTGTCCCCAGCCCAGAGCACTCAGTGCCACCTCCAGCCCTTCCTGGGACACCTCCAGGGATGAGGACTTCAAACCTGCCTGGGCAGCCCGTTTCAATGCTTGACAACCCTTTCCAYGCAGAAATTTCTGCTGATGTCCAACCTGAATCTCCCCTGACACAGCTAGAGGCCATTTCCTCTCATCTTGTCACTTGTCACCAGGGAGCAGGGCCCAACCCCCACCTGGCTCCAAACTCCTTTCAGAACACAGAGTGCAGGGAAAGAAGTATCCTTAGGCTGCTGTATTTCTCAGTCAAAATTTGATTCAAATCAGATCAAATCCAAAAAGATCAAAATGCAAATGCAGCTGTGCCTTGAACGGTGTTCCACATTTCATCAGAGCAGAACTGCTCTGTTTGGTAGAATATATTTGAATTTTGACCGTGATTGCAAAACACTGAAGTTTCCCAGTGCTTGAAATTGGTACAACGAAGTGAAACCTCTGCGTCTTGCTGGTTTTACACTCTATGAATTTTTAAGAGAAGGAATGATTTCACACAAACTTTCTATAAAAATGTTGCATTTGAAATCAAGGATGTTGATTTTAAATGAAAAACTTTTGTTTCAGAAAGATGTGTGCCTTTGAATCCTAGMAAATAGGAGAGGTTCTGGAACACAACCTTAATCATAGAGAATATGCTGTGGTTTTAGGTTTTGGTTTGCTCCTTGATAGTAATAGATTTAACAAACATAGYTTTAGATGCTAGATGATGGATGACTGGTCGTGTCAGACAGATCAGCTAATTTGTCCACGAAAAAAATCTAAAAAGACAGTTTCCACAGCTGAACTCCCATTACTATGCTTTCTTACCTTTTAATTAAGAAGCTAATGGCTGTAGGTAGTTAATCAACAAAATACCTTTAAAGATCTGGGCCTGAGGGCCTTTGTTGCAAYCCAATCTTTGTTCCCATGCAAGAGGAATGAGTCAATGGTTCCAACAAAATCTTATCACTGTCGGTGTCACAAAGATATCAAATATAATTTGAAAAATTGAGTCTTTTCCCAGGAGAGTTACAAGACATGACTTACTGTACGGTGTGAGTCATCTTCTACCCTAAAAAATACAGCCCGAAAACCAATCACCCAAATATATGTGTCAATTCTTCTGTCTGGCCAAAGAGTTTTGATGGATTTAATTCACAGACGTGTTCTTAACTTGGGTGTAGAGGAAGCCATTCTCAGTTTAAGCCAAARTCTCTAAACTTTTCAAAGCTGAAGAATGTTCTGGGGTCTGACTCCTTGACTGGCTCAGCTCTGCAGRGAGTGAGGATGTGAAGATGTGGAGCATTCAGATGTTACCTGGCACTTGCCCATGGCAGTTCCCTCTTAATTAGAAGGTAAAAAGACATAATAATTACCAGTTAACAATTTTCAATCTCTGTACAGGCAAGGGAATTAAAGTGATTTGGAAGATCCACAATTATAACTTCTGATWTGGAGAGATAAGGAAGTTTAAAGTATATTCGTTCCCTTGCTTTACTTCAGTGAGTTTGGAGAAATTAAGGTGAAGGGCAAATTCTCAGGGAGCCTCTTCCCTTTTGGTACTCCCTAAATCTTTGTTCAGATAATGGATTTAGAAGGGTGCCAGCTTCAAAAGGGCTGAGGTAACATACCCGCCAGTATCAGCCTCTGGGAGGACCTCAGGGATCACAGCCTTTTCCCCTACCTCAGCTGAAGAAAGCTGGTTTGGCCAAAAATGAGACCCCTTCCACCCAGCAGTACTGCTGGGACTGGGGGAGCTGCTGGATTATAATTTTTCTTGGTCTCTGTAACAGCAAAAAGCTGAGGTTCATAGGAGCTTCTCTCCTGTTTGCTTTTCATCTTCTGCACAGAGCAGAGCCCCCAAAACAATCTCTGACCTTTGTGTCAKAGCAGTCCCAAATTTTGCCAGA